TCACTTGTTGTCGTGTTCTATTGCCTCTGTTTTCTCGTCTCTTTGTCCCCTGTCTTCCTCTGATTCTCTGTAATTCCAATATCCATTGCCTGCTTCTCTGTGTCTTGCCGGTCTCTTGCTTGCATAATCCTTTCCCTGCCTGCCTGTTACTCCTTCCTTGCTACTGACAGTTACTTCTTTCTTCTTTTTCTTCTCTTTTCTTCTAGTTGTCCTGCCTTCCTTTTCTTGATGTTACTCCTGCAACCTATTTTCCGCTTTTCGTTATCTCCAATTTTCTTATCCCTTCTTGTTTTCTTGCTTTGTTCGTACTTGCTTTCACTTTGCTTCCTATCTTCCTATCACTACTCTCTTCCCTTCCTATCTTTTTCGGCTTTCTCCCTATTGCCCCTTTTACTCTCTTCATCGTTCTGTTGTCTTTTCTTCCTTTTCTTGCTTGTTACTGGTTGTCCAGCTTCTATTACCATCACTTGTTTTTTCTATTTTCGTCTTCATAGCTTGTCTTTCCTCGTTTCACATTCACTATTTCATTTTTTCTCATCCTTTGTCTCGACGTTTTCTCTCGTCTCCTCCTCTTACTGTTCTCCTGTCCGATTTTTTTATCATTCCTCCCTTTCTTTTTTCGACGTAATCTTTTTCATTGTCGTTTTTCTCTCGTCTCGTTACATTTTCTTGTCTCTTAAGTTATTTAACATTTTATTTCTTTTCTTTTGCTGCTAGCTACTTTTTCATATCTTCTTCGCTCGCTCCCGTCTTTACTTATGTTCTTCTATTTATCATGTCTTTCTCTTATTTCATGCAACTTATCCTTATCTCATTATCGCTTCCATCGTCCTTTCTACCTTGCTTGTTTTTACCCTATTTTGTCTTCCAGTCTTTCCTTTCTCTCTCTAATGTTTTACTTCCTGCTTTTCATTATTCTCCTATTCTCTCCTTTTCTCTCTTCTTCTCTCTCTTCCTTGATTCTGTCGTATTTGCCTTGTGACATTGTTGTGTTGTGCTGTCCGTTTTTTGTTAGTTTTCCTGGCCGACTATCTCTCCTGATTCCCACGTCTTGTCTTCTCGGTTCCTGTCCTTTTACTGATCGTTTACTTCTCTCTCTTACTCTTGTTCTTTGTGTTCTATCTCTCTTCTTTCTTAACTGTCTCTTTCTTCTCTCTCTCCTCCCTAGCGTCTATCACTTTACTCTTATTTACTTACTGTCTCCTTTTGTACTGTTTTCCTTTTTTCCCACTTCTTTTTATCCTGCTTGCATCCCTTCTGCCTTCTTCTTTGTCCTTTCTGCTCCGTTATTCTTTCTTGCTTCCCTTGCTCTTTTCCCTATTTTCTATTGCGGCTCCCTCGTTCTCTTTTAATTTGTCTTAGCTTCCTTGTGCTGTGTCTCTCGCTCTTTTTGCCTTTACTCTTTCATTTGTTTTATTATCCTTCCTACTCTTCTTAACTCGTCTTTTCTTCTATCCTGTTCTCTCTCCCTTTTCCTTGTTTTGTCTATCTTGCTTCTTATCCAACCCTCTTCTCATCGTTGCTCCTTCATTCTATCTTGTCCCTTCTTTTCTCTTCTCCTCTCTAACTTTCTCTTTCGACTTTTTTTTCGACTCTCTTTTTACCTAATGTCTTTTTCGCCTTTTTTCATCTTTCCTGTTCTCTCACTCTTTCTTGCTCTTCTTTATATTTTCATTGCTTTCTGTTCGCTCTCCTTTTTGTACTTATTTCGTTCTGTCTTTCATGCTATGTTATCCTTATATTCCTTTTTGTGTATCTTTTCTCTTCTTAGACTATTTTTTTTTCCTATGCTGCGTCCTTCCTTTTTTTCATTTTTCTTTCTTTCTTCTCTTATTACTGTTGTCATGTGTTCTTTTCCTTTTCCTCCTATATTATTTCTTTCGTACTGTTTTTCTCCCTCTGCTCTCTCATATCTTGCTTTTACTCTCTTCTCGCTGCCTCTTTTATTTTCTCATGGTCTCGGCAACTCTGTTATTTCCTTTTGCCTTCTTCTGTTATTTTGTTTCTCACTTTATCTTATTTCTCATTGCCTGTTGATTTCGTATCTCTTATTCTTTTCTCTTTCTTAACTTTCTTTTGCCTTTCTCTTCCCGTTCTTTTCCTTGCCTCTATTTTGCTTTGCTTTTCTCGTGTTATTTTCTTCCTCTCATTTCTATCACTTAGTTTCTACTTACTTTCTCTTCTTACACTACTTCCTTATCCTGTCTTATTTATCACTTTCTATCATCTATTTCTGTTCTTCCTGTCTCGTATTGCTTTTTATTCTCTTCATCTTTTCTGTATCTTTTCCTTCTCGTATGCTTATCTCTTGTATTGTGCTGTCCTTTTTACCAATGTTGTCATTTCCTTCTCCTTTACCACTTCATTAATCTAGACTTATGCCTTATTTATCTCATGTCCTTTTTCGAAACTTCTCCTGTCTTATTGTTTTCCTTTTTGCTTTGTTCTCTTGACTTTAGTCGTACTGCCTGTTGTTCCTCTTCTCACTTCTATTCTATTTTCTCCCTCTCTCTCTTCTCTGCCTATTACTTTGTACTATTTAACTCTTGCTTCTTTTCCTGTCTTATCTCTTCGCCTTTTTCTCTGTTCCTTATACTTTTCGTTTCTCTTGCTTTTCTCTTCGGCGTTATTTCGCTTTCTTTCCTTTCTATCCATTACTTGTCCTTCCTCTCTATCATTCCTAGTAGCATTGTCACTTTTCCTCCTTGCGTTGCTTTAGTTTCCTTATCTGGTTCTTGCTATTTCTATTGCTCTTCCTTGTTCCTGCTTGCTTGTCCTGTCCTGTTTCGCTTTCTTCGTCTTCTTGTTCCTTCACTCTTAGCTTGTTTGTTTTGCCTTATTTCTTCTGTTTCCTGTCTATTTTTTCCGTTTATTTCGTCCTAGCTTTGTCTCATCTATATTGTTTTTGCCGCCTTACTTTGCTCATTTCGTGTCACGCTTTTCCCTTTTTTCCTTCTGATTTGACTTTCACTCCTTGCTCTGTCTTCTTGTCCTCCTATTTCTTTTGCATTATACCTCTTCTACCTTTTCATATTAGTTTTTAATTCCCTCGTTCTTTCATTATCTTGCCTATTGTTTCCTATTGAATCTTTTCATAGTTTTTGTTTGTTGTATTGTCTGCTGTTTCTTCTGTCCTGACTAATCTTCCTATCGTGTACTTTCCTTTTTTCCTCCTGTTCTCTTGTGTATCTTGTTTATCGTCTCGCTAATATCGTCAGTATTGCATTTTCCTTTGTACTTTCTACTCTCTCTCCTTCTCCTCATTTCTACCTGTTGCTGTCTATTGCTGCTCATTTTTACTTTACCCACCGATCTACATTCTACTTTCTAGTTCTTGTCCTCTTTTGTTTCTCCTTTTGAATATCTTGTGCTCCTGTTTACTTCCTTCATCTTTCAACAACGTGCTCCCTTGTTCATCATTGGTTCTATTGTTTCCTTCTCATCTTCCTCTTTTCACTTTCTCATTACTTTTTTACTTCCTGTCATTCTCTTCTCCATTTTCTCTTGTCGCTTTCGCCTCTTACTTGCGTATAGTATCTCCTCATTAATTACTTTTCCATCTTTTTTCTTCTATCGACTTTGTTACTTTTCCTTGCTTAATTTCTCTCCTCTGTACTCTTTTTCCTTGTCACTTTTTTCCTCCTCTATTTTCTCTCTTCGGGTCGCTTTTTTCTCTCTTGCTTTAAACTTCCTACTTTCTGTCATGTTGCCGCCTCTTTTCTTCTGTTTGCTTTTCTTCTCTGTCCTATCTTGCATGTTTCGTGTCTTTTTCCTAATTTTTACTATCTATCTTGCTTCATATTTAATGTTTCTTCCTTCTTTCTTTCTTTGCTGCCTTTTCTCTGATGCCCTCTTTTCTACTCGCTATTCTTTGTCATTACTTCCTTGGCTCTTGTTTTTTATTTCTCGTTCTTATTCTTACTTGCTTATTACTTTTTCTCTTATTTCCTTATCTTTTTCTGCCATTCCTTTTCCTCTTGACTGCTTCTCTTTTCTCTTTTTGCTTCTTTTTGTTCAGCTTCTCTTGGCCTCTTGTTCTCCTCATCCTATCGTCTATTCTTCTTTCTCTTCCTCTTTCTCTACTGTTGTGATTCTCCTGTGTATTCTTTGTGTTCTCTTGTCTTTCTCTTTCTTTCTGTTCTTAGTGCTTTTTGGTTTCGCATATTTTTGTTCGCTTTTTCACTCCTTTACTCTCTTCTTCTTGTTCTCGGGTATCTTCCATTGTCCTGTATCGCTCGATTCTTCCCTTTTCTTATCTTCTAAGTTGTACCTCCTTCTCACTTGTTCATTTTTCTCTTACTTGTTGCTTCTACTTTACATTCCATTGTCTATCCTCTATTGTGCATCCTACTCTTGTCTCCTTTGCTCTTTCGCCTGTCACTATCTTCCCTGTTTCTTACTTGCTCATTACTTTCCTTTTCTGGCTCTTCCCTATTTCTTTCTTGCTTTCTTCTCCTGTTTCTGCCTTTCTACTTCCTCTGTTCACTTTAGGTTCTCGTCTTCTGCCTTGTTTTTGTTGGTTCGCCCTTTTCGCCTGCTTCCTACTTTTCCTATTTGTTCGTGTTCTATCTTCCTTAGTTCCTCCTCCTTCCTAATTATACATTCATCTTCTGTCTCTTGTCTGTCTTTCGCCCTGTTTCTCTTCATCTCCTATGTCGATTTCTCTCTCTCTTCCTCTCTTCTGTTCTCCTCTCTTCATAATGTCATTCCTGTCTCCTTTTTCACTGTCTTCTACTGTGACTTATCATGTTCCTTGATCTTTGTTTCTTGTTGGTCTTTAGATTATGCCGTCCTTTATTTAATCATTCTGTTTCTACCTTCTGCTCTCTCTTGCTCGTACTTTAGCTCATTCTCGCATTCTTTACAGCCTTTTTCTCTACTGTTCTTCTCTACTGACTATTATTTCCTTTTTTTGCCTCTTTTTGCCCTCTTTATCCATCTGCCCTTCTTCATTCTTCCTTCTTTGTTTACTTCTTGTCTTATTCTCTTTTGTCATATCCATTACTTTTATATTTGTTTTTTTGTTCTCCTTCCGTATTGCTCTTTCGAGTTATCTTACTTCCCTCTTGTCTTGTACTTCTCTAGCCTTCTTACTATTCTTTCTCATCATTGCTGTCTTTTTGTTGCTTGCTGTTCCATCTCCTGTTAATTATGATCTTTCTTCTTTGTATCCCTATCCCTTGTCCTAATTCTTTCTTGCCCTGTCTCTCTTTCGTTTGTTTTTTTCTTCGACTTTTTTTATTTTTCGCTACTATGCAATGGCGTTTCTCTTCCTTACCTCTCGTTTTATTGCTCCTGTCTCTCTCTTGCTATCTTTGTTGCTAGTTGCCGTATCTTGTTCCTTCTAGTTATTTTCCTTCCCTTTTTCACTTGCTTTATATTTCTTGATTCATTTTTTCTTGTTCTCTCTCTTTCTATCTCTTGCCTCGTTTCTGGCGTTGTCATCCTCTTTATTTCCTCTTCCTTCTTTTTCTCCTTTCTTTCCCTTTTCATTATGCTGTCTGGTGTTATTTATTATCTTGTTTTCTCTTTTTTTTGTTTCTCTTCCTGCTATTCTGCCTTTTTACCTTTTTGATTCTTCTCTTTCTCACTTGTTGTCGTGTTCTATTGCCTCTGTTTTCTCGTCTCTTTGTCCCCTGTCTTCCTCTGATTCTCTGTAATTCC